GTGGAGAAATAGAAAACCGTGGTCTGTGTCCTCCTCGGTGTACATGGCTACAGGGCAGTGATTCCAGAGTTTTTGTCTGAAATCTGACCCAGGTTATGAGTCGTCATGAGGTCAGCAGAAATGAAAATGTTCAGATGTTTTTTTTTTGCTGCATAATAATATAAAGTTCTCTGCAGGGGTCAAGCTAGTTGACCCCGTCCAACTATGTCTATACAGTAGACCCTAAACCGGTCTGTGGGTATGACTGGCTGACATTGACTGACTGTGGGTCAGGGCGTCTCTGCTGGATTGGAGTCAAGTGGCGGTGGTAAACTCTGAGCAGCAGACTGTTGTTGTGCGTTTGAATCGTCCTGTCGCACCAGCCCTCAGCCTGTCTGGGGTGTGGAGGCTATTGTGTTTGCCCTGGATTGCGTGGCCTGGGGGAGGATTTGTAACAGTGTCTGTTGGCAGTGGAGAAAAGTTACGGCATTCACTGGCATGATAAAGTTTCCTTCTGTCTGCCATGTGTTGTTCTCTCCACTTCACGGTAGCTCAGTGTTAAAGGAGAGGCTCCGCCCCCAACCAGAGGGAAATACTTCTGCTGAGAAATGTTGGGTCTTTGTTTGTCCGTCACCCTGAAGTGAACGTAATATTGCTGTCAAACAGAAGCTCCAAGCTGCAGCTTCTCCAGTGGCCCCCAGGGCTCAGCACGCTGTAACTGAAGTATTCAGAACACAAACAGATGAAGTGAAGCTCATCACCACACAGACAAAAGGTGTAGCATTTTTTTTTTTTTTTTGGTCTGTTTTAATAATTAGGTGATATATTTTTAATGGCAGCATTTAGGATACAATCTGATATGGCTCAAAATTGTGTTGGATCCCCTAATTTTTTTTTGTTTGCTGTTGCCAGATTAAGGAAACTTGCAGAAAAACCTCTGGAGCTAAGTGATACATGGACTTAAAGATACATCAGTGTATTGTATTATTGATTTATAAAATGTTGAGTTATAATTATACTTCAAATGGCTAGCTTGACTACTTCTCTGGCTCTTCCTCTTCTCTCTGTCTGTCTGCAACTAACCTGTTCATTTAAAACTTAATTTTTAATATATATGTGTAATTCTACTGAAACAAAATCCAATTTGAAGTTTGAAAACGTTAACTTTTCAATTGTGAGAAAATACGAAGTCTATAGGCCCAGTCATACTGTACCAGCTTGTTGGTCTGAATGGTTCTGTGTGTGTCAGACGAAGTGAGGTTGACGTTGGAGGTGAAGTGAGTTTGATGCTGGAGGTGAAGTGCGTTTGACGTTGGAGGTGAAGTCAAGAAGAACTTGACTTTGTTTCTCTTCAAAGAACTTCTCCTACCCTAACAAACCCACTTACATCTAAGGTGCACCTTCTTCTTACTCTACGACCTACTATGTTTACCGTCGCTTGATTGTTCCTCAAACTGTTAGTCACTTTCGATAAAATGCTGCTAAATGTAATGTAAGGTGTTCTTGTTCTCTGTTTTTACTGGACTGCAATAATTCAAATGTGATACCACCTTAAATATTTTCAAGTTGTTAAAGGCCGGTACTTCAAAACCTTAAAAGTGCCTGAGTGGGTTCCGTGAGCTGGATCGTGTGTTTGGAACCTCTGTAGGTTTTTGCTGTGTTTTTCGTTTGTCTTCCTGGTTCCTTCTGTGAAATCTCAGATCTTAGTGACCGCGGCACATGTGTGGGAGTGTTCCTGTTCACGGAGCCTCGTCAATTATTTATCCATAATCATAAACCTCAAAGATGGCGCCTCGGCAAATACAGCAGGCAAACACCTACACTGCAGAAAACACACAAATACACACCCATACACGCATGCACACACACACACACACA